AGAAAATGAAAAAAAGGGGGGGGGTTGGCCCTTTGGGTTCATGAAGTAGTGAAAATTCCTTGAACCAACAGATGGCATGTGTATAGAAAGCATAAAGATGTTAGATGCTATCTATGACTTTCAAATTTACGAATAAGGGTAAATTGTTAAACCGAAACGTTGAAAATAGATAGTAGTTTCCAAAATATTTAAAGAATTTATGTTTCAGAAAATAGAATTCCAACAGTAGTATTTTATCATTTGCATCATAATTCCTTGAAAGGGACCATTTTTTTTTTTTTTTTAAGGGAGAATTTAATCTGCAAAATATATAAAAGACTGAAACATTTCATTTCTCAAACTCGATCAACATGTCAAACTTTTTCAATTTTACTATTACTTGTTCATCTGAAGCAAATTTTCCTCTTTGCCTAGGTTTATTTATTTCTGAGCCAACAATCTTTCAAAACTCAAAAGGGTATATTATATGTATCTACATTTAAGGAAATAGCGTTAGTAAACTTTCAGGGTGTGTTTGGTTAGGGGAATGTAAAGAATGGAAATGAATCAAGGTTTATTCTCATATTTAGTTGGTTTTAGGAAAATGAATGATCATTTAAAATAGAATGACTTTTTCATCAAATGAGTGCCTTTTTCATGAGATGAATGTTTATTCTAAACTCTTTTAATTTTCTTTTCTATCATTACCCTTGAATATTATAATTATAAATATTATTATATTAATATTTATAATATAATTAATATTATATCATACTAATTTAAATTATAATATAATTATATTTTATAACATATAATTATAATATATTATAATTATATACGTATATTATAATATATCATATTTAATAATATAATAATATCTTATGTTATGTATTATACATTTTATCATTATAAATATAATATATTATACAATATAATTGTGATATTATAATTAATAATAATTATTATAATTATATTTATCATTATAAGATAATATAATATAATATTATATTATATTATATTATATTATGCTATATTATTTTATAGGATATAAATGTGATGTTTTCATATGATAGTTATAATAAAAATTAAAATTTTATTATTTTAACTATATAATATTATAATTATAATATATACTATATTTTATAATATTATAATTAAGTATTTATATAATTACAATATGAATATTATAAATATTTATTTTATAATAAATCATAAATAATATATTATAATTAGAAATGATAATATACTATATTATATATTATAATTGTAATATGTCATATTATGTTATATTATTACATTTTATAATTATACTATATTTCTATTAATATAATATAGTATAGTTGTAACATTATAATATAAAATAATCACAATATCATTATTTTATTTTATTATATTATTATATATTATGATTGTATTATAATAATATATAATTATATAACTATAATTATATATATTATATCCTTAAAATTATATATATATATAATATTAGTTATTAAATGATTATATCAATAAATATGATATATTGGTTATATTAACATGATGGGTAATTTTGTTAATATGAAAATATTCACACCCCATTATATTACATTTGTAAAAGTAGAACCAAATAAATAAATCATCTTTTCTTTTCATTCTATTCCATTATCATTCTCATTTCCATCCCCATTATCATTCCCTCATTGCAACCAAACGCACCCTCAAATTTTAACTCTTTGGGTGCGCTTAGAACTCGTTTCAAAATGATTTTATTTTTATATGAAAATGGAAATGAAAACGTTTTCAATCTCAGACAGAAATTATTTTTAAAAATGCGTTTAGTAGTTTTATCAAGAGATTATTTTCAGTATAAAAAAAACTCATTAATGTCTCTCTCTCTACTCAAGAGAGGAGAAAACAAAAATAAAAAATGAAAAACGACTAAAAGTTCATTTTTCATTTCTCTCACATTTTACACTAAACTAAAAAATCGTTTGCATTTTCGTTTTTTGTCTTTAATTGTGCCAAACGTCGTTTTGGAATCATTTTTATTTTTCTTTCTCAAAAAACGTGAAAAATAAAAACAAGAACAATTCCAAACACAACATCTAAAATCATGTCTTATATTGCCCGGTCTAGATCAATGAGTCATTAAGGGGGTGTTTGTTTCGTGTATCCGTCATTAGTTTTGAATCATGATTCATGATTCTCTACAGTGTTTTTCTCTCACAAAAAATTTAAATTTCAAAAATCAGAATCATAAATCATGTCTGAATTTATGAACCAAACCTTACCTAAATATATAACACTGTAATTATACTCCAATGTTCCTTGTCAACAAAAGAGTGTTTAATGATAAGCTTGTCTTTCGAACTGACCAATCACTTGCCTCCTAACAAGCGAAATTGTTTTATGTGAACTTATCCACCAACACCTAGTGGAGGTTTAATCTAATGAATCGTGTTTAGTAATTGATATCTGTTGGCATTAGGAAAATAAAAAATAAAAAAAAAATCCCCAATTACACATTATTTTGGTTCTTGAGATCGTTTGGATGTCATTGATGACATGTTATCTTTAAATGTTTAGGTAAGATATTTGGCTAGTGCTTAGCCAACTAAAGTTTTTATTTTTTATTTTTTTTGCTTTCCCAAATTTATTTATGTAACTTAGACTAAAGTTTATTTACGCTATCCTATAGCTAATATGCTGTCGAAACTCAAAGGCCATCAACAATAATCTCACCTTGCGCCGTGAAGGGAAAGATTTGGCATGCAATGATACGAGTATCTAGGGTCGTTTTTTTTGCTACAATATTTTTTTTTATAAAAATTTAAATTCAACTTTTTTATTATAATGTTTTCTCTCATATAAAAAATATTTAAGTTGTGATTTAAGTTGTGAAAAGAACACACCTTAAAACACGTAAATTAATAATGTGTAGTCGTACATTGACTCCATTAGATCTATTCATGTACATTTTTGTATATAAATAGAACAAACAACCTTTTTATATTTTTCAAACGAGTTGTTTCCAACTAATGAGAACTACTTTTATGAATACGCCTAAAGCTCAAACTATATTACTTAATTCAATTTCCTTCATTAATTTCAAAATACAATTTTAATTGAATTCTTTAATTTGAACAATTTGTATTTATCTTATAATTATCTAATTAAGCTTATCTTATCTTTGGTATTTGGAGATTATATTAGTAATTATCTTTTTAATTATTAGTTTGTATTCAGTCCATTTAGCATCTCGTCTGGATCTAATAGGAAATCTCTCCGAAGATTTTATCCATGCTTATATGAGATCATAGGTCAAACTTTCACGAACTTGTTGGTCATGGTGTCTATGTGAGCGCTCCAATATAGTCGGATATAACGGCATTAAAACGTGTTTCTAGGATATCACCAGTAATATGATAGATTACCACCGATAATACGATGGACTACTATTAGTAATATGGTATTATCACCGACGCAAAAGCATAGGGATGAGTAACATGGAAGGCTATTATTTGTAACATAGTAGACAGTTAGTCAGTTACCAATGCAAAAACGAATAATGAGTTACGTACTGTCAGTAACCTGATATGATATTGTTCGGATTAGTTGTGTCATTTTGACTATCTTGATTTTCCTGTTATAACATTTATTGTAAAATTTTGTTGGTCACAAATATTTGTTCACAGGTCTGACTGTGATGTTTATCAAAACGAAAAATAGGAAATTTCCTCTCTTGATTCCTTTTTTAGTTTTGTATTCTCTTGTTTATTTTATTTTACTTTTAGTTTTAAAGGAATACCCTCTAGTTTTTCTCACTTAAGATTATGCCGCTCTTAATTTAATATTTTCATTCCTATATATAAAAGAAGAAAAGGAAGGGTATATATTTACAAAAATACATCATCAGTAAAGTTTTGTTTTCTAATCATTAGATATGTATCTCTTTGTATTGTAACTCAAGGCCCAAATAAGATTGCTATGAGTTGTGACCGATAGAGGACGCTCTAGATGAATGATAAACAAAAAGAAAGCAAAAGACGACAATATTCTAAACAGAACGACGACCAAATGAGAGAGAGATTTAAAAGGCCACATAAACGAAGTGACAGGCTATATGAAAATTGACGACGAGGGAAAACCACAGTAAAGTGAGAAGACAATAAAATAGAAAAGAAAAAAAAAACAGAAAAGATAAGATAACACAAGTGAAATGGCAATCAATAACAACAAGAGAAACGATAATATCATAATTAATTGATACTCAAATTAAAAACGACGACAAAAAAGTCAGTAAAAACGATACCTAGATGGACTGGCGACGACATTAGAGGAAACGACGGCGTAAATGAGGCAATAAAAAGGATAAAGCGAAGTGAGAACACATGTAATAAAGCAAGGTTATTAGCATTATTAGTCTCAACTGCATTATAATAATCTGCGTTATAATACGTTTTAAAATAATTTTATTTTTTATATAAAAATAGAAATAAAAACGTCTTTAATTTTAAACAGAAATTATTTTTAAAAATATATTTGATAATTTTATCAAGAGATTATTTTTATTATAAAAAAAATTAAAACTCTATTTAATTATATATTTTTAAAAATATATTTGATAATTTTATCAAGAGATTATTTTTATTATAAAAAAAATTAAAACTCTATTTAATTATATATTTTTAAAAATATCTAATAATATTTTAAATAATATATTAAATATAAAATAAAAATATTTTTTTCATATATATGTAAAGAAATAACCGATTAATAGAATAATTATGTATATATATATCTCTCGGGGAGATGGAGATGAAAAAGTGAAAATAAAAAATAAAAAGTGATTAAAAATTATTTTTTATTATTTTTTATTTACACAAAATTAAAAAATTACTTTTATTTTTATTTTTTATCTTTAGTTACCCCAAACACAATCTCCTCGCTTTCATTTTTTTTCTAGAAAAATGTGAAAAACAGAATTAATTTCAAACCCGCTGAATTAGTATCTGAATTACAGATTTTTTCTTGAATTTTTGTATGTTGTTTTTGTTTTTTCTTAACACAATTTTGATCATGAATGACATAAAGGAATCTTCCTAGGAAAACAAGCATGAAAAATTTGAAATTGAAGAAAAGTAAGACGACGACTATTCTGAGGGTAAGAGAGGTCATAGACGACACTCCATAGAAAGTCTGGAAAAAGAAAGAAGGTCAGAGATGATACGAATTCGAAACCCTTTGAACTAAAAGAGATTCCAATATTCAGGACTTCTTTTCTCGAGAAAAATTCCTAATTTCTCGAGAAAATCTTTTGGGTACCGAAAGGGAAATTGGAGAAATTTATAATGAGACTTAAGCCATGGTTCTTCGTGCTGGTAACACTTGCTCTTGTTTGGATTCCATCAAACGGCGTCTTTGGATCGCCGCGTCAGAAATCCGACGAGGCTTACGTCACGCTTTTGTACGGAGATGAGTTCTTGTTGGGCGTCCGAGTCCTCGGAAAATCGATTCGGGACACTAGATCCACCAAGGACATGGTGGTTCTGGTCTCCGATGGCGTTTCCGATTACGCCATGAAACTTCTCGAGGTGAATTTTTGTTCCTCTCATGCCCTAAGCGAAAAAAAATTCAGCTCTGTGGATAAATTGATTTCTTCTCTTTGCTTTTCTTGTTCAACGCTCAACTTTTCTCTTTGGTAGATCGGAGAATCAGGAAATAAAAAAAGAGTTCTTTATTGTTTATTGGATGTCGAAAACATGGTTGAAATAAATGAAGTTAGAGCTTATTGGGATCAATTTTGGAGTTTCAAAACAATTTTAGAAGATTTAAAGTTGAGTATTTTGGTTATAGCTGACAATTTTTTAATGGATAATTTAAAATTTTTTCAGGCTGATGGGTGGATTGTGACGAAGATTAGCTTATTGGCAAATCCTAATCAAGTACGGCCAAAGAGGTTCTGGGGTGTCTACACAAAGCTGAAAATTTTCAACATGACTAACTACAAAAAAGGTAAGATTTGTAACTTTCTTTTAGATAGCATAAATTTCTTAGTTTTAAGTTCTGTTGGTGTTCATGAAAAAGGGAAAATGGTTTTATAACTAATGTTTATCTTGCAGTCGTTTATCTCGACGCGGATACTATTGTGGTTAAAAGTATTGAGGATCTTTTCAAATGTGGAAAGTTTTGCGCTAACTTGAAGCATTCTGAGAGATTGAACTCTGGAGTGATGGTAGTAGAATCATCTCAGAAAGTTTTCGATGACATGATGAGCAAAGTGAACACTTTGGAATCTTACACTGGAGGTAAAGTAATTCTTTGCGTGGTCATGCTGTTTTGTTTTCCCTAGTATCATCAACATTATTTGTTGCTGGTGTGTACTTTTCGTTTAGAACACTATGCGGAAGTCGTACAGAAAATTTTAAAAAAAATGAAAATTTTGTGGGAAACTTTACGTTCTACTTGATTTTATTTTGGGATATATTCAAATCTCCTAACTTTTCTGTATGTGGTCCCTTCTCACAGGAGATCAAGGATTTCTGAATTCATATTACGCTGGCTTTGCCAATGCACATGTTTTTGAGCCAAATTTATCCCCAGAAGTTTTGAATTCGAGACCAGTTCCTGAAATGGAGCGGCTGTCCACTCTATACAATGCAGATGTTGGTCTTTACATGCTCGCTAACAAGGTACTCCTGCACAAATATGAAGAAGGATTTCTACTTTTTCCCTTTCTCATTCTAATTATGTCTATAATTTCTATGGCTATGTTATCTGATCTGCTTATACATCACTGATGCAGTGGATGGTTAATGAAAGTGAACTCCGTGTAATCCACTATACACTTGGTCCTCTTAAACCTTGGGACTGGTGGACATCTTGGCTTTTGAAACCTGTTGATGTCTGGCAGGTTTGATTTGCCTTTAACTCCATACTAAGTTATGCTTGTATCAGATTCTGCTTTTAGTATTAACTCCATACTATATTTGGATATGATCCTTGCCAACCTGTACGTGCAATATATTTGTTCTTCCTTATATTGCTTGGTATTCAAGTGCATGTGGTTCCACATTATATGCTGTGTCCATGTATTGGTGTTGGTGGGTTGCTAGTAGCGGGCGGTATTATTTATTATTAGATTGTTCTTTTCTCATTCTAAAGAGGATTTCATCTCTGATTGATGGCTTATTTTGCTTTTCGTTTGTTTTCTGATTTTGCAGAATGTTAGGGAACAGCTTCCGGAATCCCTTCCAGGAACTGGAGGCGGCAGTAATCCTAATGATAATTTTCTTGTCAAATTTCTGCTTTTGCTACCATTTTGTGCTCTTCTCGTCTGTTACTATCGATCATTTCTCCAGGTATGCTGTTAGAAAGTTCTTTACGCCTAAATTTTTAAGCAAGTAGACATTTGGATCTCTTAACATATTAATATTTGGTGCAGACACGGGAGTACTTTAGTTCATTATGTAGAAGTTCATTATGCGACCATATTAGACATATTTACATCAAAATCAGGTCTGCTGGAACACATACATATGCTGGTGTTTCTACATCATCCAATAGTAATCCAAACCATCAGGTTAGGTTTCCTTTTATAATCTATGTGGTGAATTTTACATTTTTAAACTCTTTAAACAAAAACATCCTCCCACCGTGTTACTCTGTCATATTGGTTAGTAATTATAAAATTTTGTCTATAATCCAAATTTGTTTGTTAACAATTATCGATGGGGGTTTGCAGGCTAAGGTTCCCACCTATTTAGGTGGGGTTTCTGTCTTCTTCTGTTTCACGGTCGCTCTTGTTGCCCTTGCACTTGGTCTTGCAATTGTGCCGCGACAAGTGATGCCTTGGACTGGTTTACTATTGATGTATGAATGGACATTCACGATCTTCTCTCTCTTATTTGGAGGTTATCTCCATTTAATATACCAGTGGGGGAAGGCTACAGTAGTTCAATCGGGATCCCTTCCCTCTCATTCTGAGTCACTTGATTATGATTCTGGAAAAGGTTTGTAGACCTGCCATAGTCATTCGAATTAATGCATCGAGATACCAAGTACTATTCTTATGTCCATGGTCATTGCTAAACTCAGCTATTCTCTTTTTTTGTCTTCGCTTACATGTTCTTCTTAATACACGGTTAATGCATGTGTTGCAGGTCATCAGCGTCTTGCATCGTCATGTGATATCGCTGCATGGTATTATGGGCTAGGGATGGCATTTTTGGCTATTGTTGCCCCATCTGTACCATGTTTTCTAGGAATTACCGCTCTTTTTGGGAGGTAATTGGCTTTTAGAATATCTGTATCTGTTAGAGGATTTTTCTTATGGGATATTTACATCTTTATACCCTGTGTTTTTGATTTATTCAAAAATTAATCTTTAGTTTTTAATCTCATCAAATGTATACCTTCAAATTAGATTTAATACTCAAATTTATACCTTTTCACAGTCAACTATCGATTTTAAGCATAAAATACCTAAAGTACCCTTAAATAAAAATGGAAAAAGAAAAGAAAACTAAAAAAAAAACCTTTAAATTTACGGTTTTAACCTTAAAAAATCCAAAATAACATTGAAATGGGTTTTTTCGTGTTTTTAATTTTTATTTTTTGTAGCGTTGGAAAGTTTTAATTTTATTTTCTCTCTTTTTCTTAAGGATAGTTTGGTCATTTTAAAAGTCAATCAATTATTGACCGAGATGAGTGATAGATTTGTATATTAAGTCAAATTTGAAGGTATACATTTGATGAGATCAAAAATCGAAGGTATAAATTTTGAATAAACTGAAAATATAGAGTATAAAAATGTAAATATCCCATTTTTTATCCCCGTTGCCCCATACTTTTAGAGCAACTTTTGCAAATTGTTAAGAAAGATCTTTGTGGTCTCCAAACAGGTTGGCATTGATAGTTGCTGGAGGTTTAATCTTGGCATCGTTCATGACATATGCCTCTGAGCATCTTGCAATCAGATCATTTTTGAGAGGTCTTGAAGACCGAGACACTGCGAGAAGTCGAAAGGTATGTTTCTTCTGTTGATCGCTGCTCGCTGCTCGAAGCTGACAATTGTTAACTTAAAAGTTTCTTTTTAAAAAAAAAAAAAAAAGCCATTTTGACTTTTTAATGCGTATTGTTTATTTGTAAAATAGTGCAGGAATTTTGTCCAATTAATTAGAGTTCTTCTCAAGTTTTGTTTTAATATTCTTTAAGAATGTTGTTTTGACAATGATCTCAATATTGCTACACCACTGTCAACCATAATTTAATCAATGAAAAGTGCAGGTATAGAACCATTTTCCAGTTTTTTATTCTACAAATCCAAATTTTATAGTAAGCGCGTCTCATATTCTACACACTTAATCCTTGTTCATTTCATCGATTCGAATTTTTAGTTTTAGATTTTTACAGTAAAAAATTCTCAAAAAATATCACATCTAATTTTTTTTTTTTTACTACAGTAAAAAATTTTTAAAAAATGTTAAATTTCAGTTCAAATTGAAAATTTAAATATGTGAAGTGGATGAGACTTAAAGTTGATAGTATCCCGTAATTTGAGCATTTCTGCATGTTACCAAAAAGAAAAAAAAAAAAAAAAAAGAAAAAAAAGGAGGTATCCTTCGTACTTCAAACGGAAAAACGACATTTCACTTGTTATCTATATTCTGTGTGATAGGCTACATGTCGTTAGTGCATAGAATGGTCCGTCGATGGTGTCTTGGGTTTTTTTTTTTTTTTTTTTTTTTTTTTTTTTTTTTTACTTTTTAAAATGACGTCTTGATGGAGCTCAGCCTTTTGAGTCACCGACTTGCAGTTTCTATTTTCCTTCGAAGCAAAGTTGAAGATATTTAGAACATTCCTGATATTTTCATAAATGACCACAACGATATAACGTTTTAGAGAGAACAAAATTAATATCTATAAATTAGACTTTTTACCTTAAAGTTGCAATTATTTGTTCCCCTAAAAAATGCGATTATTTTTCCTTCAATTTCTTGATATTTTACATGTGTAAATTAGTATCCATATTTTCATTAAAAGGTAAAAACGGAAATTTTTTGTTTTAAGGGGTTTATGACCGTAAACTTAATGATTATGGTCTCATTTAGTTTGTTTATTTGAATTTTTAATTTAAATTGAGATATAATTTTTTATAAGAATTTTTTACTGTAATAAAAAAATTAAATGTAATTTTTTGTATAGTAAAATTAAAATTAAAAACTTATAAAATGAACGAGATAAATATATGCAAATGACATGACGTCCATCGTCTCAAACTTTGCGTTCGTTTGAGTTGAAAACACGTTTTTGTACGTAACTCATAAGTTACTGCTGCTTTTCTTAAGAAAAACGACATCTAATAAACAATAAAATGACTATAAACTAAAAACGAAAAAAAAAGGTTTATATAAACCAATAACATTATAACCCAATTGTTCAAAGTATCTTTCTAAAGAAAGTCGCCGTTAGCTAGAGACGTACATGTGATGCCCTATTCCTTTAAGATTCCTTCTACATCTTCGACAAAATAATTAATTTGTTTCAAAAAAAATATCCAATTTTCAACTTATAATCAATTGGCCAGAAATAGACCTTTGCGCACTATTTTTTATGACCGTTGATACTTGATACTTGACCAAACAATGATGTATGATAATTGTCGCGATTAAAAAATGGATTTATACATAGGATATTCGACAGAATTTAGTAGACGTTTGGTTCATGAATTTAGAATCATAATTTAAATTTATTCTCGATTTACGTGTATTTTTTTAAGAAAAAATAATGTAACGGATTACGAATCATAATTCAAATTATGACACAAATAAAACGGGCTATTATTTTTTTAACCCTATCAAACAGTAAAAAAAGAGTGGTAAAATTTCACCTGGGGACTGGGGTAGATAGTTATTATGTGTGGGAAAATGTGACGGACACATGGACGAACGATAATGCGACACGTGGCCTTGACTACTCTCCACCAAGCGAGAAACCCTCAACGCTTACGGTCTCCCTCCTATTCCGCTGCGAAGGCCCAAGGACGAAATCCAAGTTAGGGCGACGATCCCTTATGGCGTCGACTGATTGCGCCGTCGATATTGAGGGATGAAGATCTCTCGACCGCAGGGAGGGCCACCGAAGAAGGCGATTGGACTAAGCAGCGCTGACGACGAGGGGAACGTCCTTTGGAGGACGTGACGGGTTACGTGCAGAAGTGGAGGACGTCTGCAGGCATTAAATGCAAGCTATCAGACCGCCCCCACAGGGGACAGATAAGTATTACGGGGAAACACAGAGCCGTAATATAAGACTAATTGGCTGAGTGAATAGTGCTAATTAATGGGCTACGTCTGAGCCTACTAAAAAAAAGCACTTGAGTGCTTCTACCTATGAAGGAAACCCCCTAAGCGAAGGAAGCCTAATATAAAAAGAGGACGACCCCCAGCAAGGGGGGGTTCGAAAAAACACAAAAGAAGAACAGACTTAGTAAGAACGATTATTGTAAATTGTGATCTTCCCAAAAAGAAATATAAAATCACAGTGGACGTAGCTTTGATTCTATAGAGTGAATCACTATAAATTTTTTTATATCATTTACCTAGGCATGATTTAGTGAATACACATACACACATATCTAATAACTCCTTATACGTTAAACTACACCCACACAACCGGTAATCTAAAAAAAAAAACTAAAAAGTAATCCGATTAATTTTTTATTAGTAAAATTTGACCGTCAATAGTTATTATTTATCACTTTATCTATATATCCAGTTATCCACCGTAACTTTTTACGGATCTCAAACAAGAAATGCTGTATAATAAATAGGTGTTAGACACATAATAATGGACCACCATTATTAATATTATATAGTACCCTCTCTTCAATTTATAGAGTTGTCATGCCAACCATCATGTGTACAGTGAGTATATACGTGTGTGTGTCTCTTCAGGGTAAAGCAAAGCTCGTACGACAGAAACAATAAATAAAAAGAAAACTAATTGTCCAGTATTCAATGATGTAAGAACCACTTCATAAGAAACGACAAAGAAAATAGAAACCCCATACTTTACTTTAGGACAAATATCTTGATCAACTACATACAACTTGTACGGACACAACGTACAAACAAAAGAGAGACTAACCACTTTCTTCAATCCAGAAAAGATATCATAACTTTTTTTTTTCTAATATTTTTTTTTTTTTTTTTTTTTTTTTTTTTTTTGGGTGGGGTGTAAAAGGGTTATCACAATCTTGGTTTCAGTTTAATGTGGCTCAATATTGGGATTGGACTATGTTAGAAAGTTGGAAAGAAGATATTTCAATTGGATCTTGGAAGGGTCTTTCCTCTTCTGGGGTCTTATAATTTGCTCATGAAGATTCTAGATATTCTTCTGTTAAAATTGAACTATCACCAATAGTGATATTAAGTATTAACCAACCTTTTTTTTTTTTTTTTTTTTTTTTTTTGCATGCTTTGTTTGAGAATTGCCACTTTAGTCCCCTTGGCCCTAGATGAGTCACAAACCAATAGAAAAAATGTCATTTGATCGCCTTGTGTTTCTTTCTTTTTTGCTTTTTAGTTGCATGTCATTTCCCACTATAATTTAACACACATGGACATAATGACTTAACTCAAATTTGTAACAAAATTTGAAAAAAAAAAAAAAAAAAAAAGGAGATGATGGGAGGGCAGACTTTAGTGAATCATCATCCTTATCCTAAAGTCTGTCTGATAAGTACTAGTAATCTAACATAAAGAGATTGCAGGAAGGTACACACATTATTTTGAGCCCTGTATTTTGGCTTTTACAAATTACAACAAATAAAGCTAGGGAGAAAAGATTCCTTCTTGCTAAGGAATTTCATGGTTATCATCCATCCAAAGTACCGACACACACAAATACATGTGTACACATACACATGCATAATTGTGATGCACAGTGTTGAACGTATAGACTTTTAAAAAGAGCCGATAACCACTAATACACATCCAGAATATCTTCTTTTTTTTTTTTCTCCTCCCATCAGCGTCCATTTTCGATATAGCCTGTTTAGTTCATATATTAGAACTATAAAATTAAAATTATTTTTAATTTACGTATATTTTTTATGAGAGAAAATACTATAACAAACTATGAACCATAATTCAAATCAGGAAACGAATCATCTAACCAATCTTAATAATTCTAATTAGAGATCTTGCCATATCGGACGCATGATAATGTTAGTGAAACTGGATTCATTCTTTAAGGCCATGTTCATTTCACCGATTCGAATTTCAATTTTAAGTTTTTACAGTAAAAAGTTTTCAGAAAATGTCACATCTAACTTTTTTTGCTACAGTAAAAAACTCTAAAAAAAATATCACATCTCAACTCGAATTAAAAACTCAAATTTACGAAGTGAACGAGCCTACATAACCTTTTTTTTTTTTTTTTTTTTTTTTTTAAAAAGGGACCAACAGTACGATGGAAGGGAGTGGATAGGAATCATAGGATAGGATAGGAAAGGAAAACTGACAAATGAATTATCACGTCGGCCACAACTTTCCAGCTGCTTAAATTGGTCATTTGGGTGTCCAAAAGAATTTGTTTGAAGAATTATACTGTAGAATATCAAAAGAAAAACACTACTAGTAAAACACAGTTATGAAGTATTAAACAGCATTAAAATTGTATTAGATTAAGAAGAATGTGACAATTTAAGGAAGTTTTGTAAACATTTGATTGATTTAGAATTGTGCAGTTTATAAAGTTTTTTTTTTTTTTTTCCCTACCCTATAAGTAGGATGAAACTTGATTAGCTGGGCAAATGAGATTGTCTTCAGTTCTGAACCATCATTGGGGTACTTTTAATACATTATCAGCAGTGTCTTTTCCCCCTCCCCAAACTACTTGGAGCTTTGAAGTCCTGTCGCACAGATTCTATGACTTTATTCATTTCACTGATTTAAATTTAAAATTTAAGTTTTATTATAATAAAAAACTCTCATAAATAATTACTTTTAATTTTTTTTGTTACAATAAAAAATTCTCACATAAAATCACATCTCAACTTGAATTAAAAACGCGAATACAGACCCATATATTCCCCATTTTATCATATCTGAAAATCCCCTTTTATTCGAAGAATTTTTTGTTTCTTTTGGGGCTCCTGCTTCTGGCGTCCGTACACGTGCTAAGGCCATCAATATTATA